CCCGAGCCCCGAGCGCACGCGCATGAGATTACTCAGTAACCATGGTAACGCATGATATTACTGACCCATTCCATTTCCCGTACAAAGGTTACAAAACACAATTAGCATGCTCATTGCTGGCCCGTAATAAGATTTGATTTGACTCAGACTTATCTAATCCACTCAACAACGTTTATCTGTACTATTCGGGACTGATTCTGTAGTATCGGCCACGTGACCAGTGTGTATCAGTCCCGTGACCCGTGTAGTATCACATATGGGTTAGCTCACGTGATCCCGGCTCATTTCCTCCCGGAGTTACTTGTGGCACAGCTTACAGTTTATCAGCTGGGGCTCACTTTACAGGTCCCTGCTGGGGCTCACTTTACAGGTCCCTGCGATTTATCAACGCAGTGAAATTAGCCCTAATACAAATTATATCAACGCGCTGTTTCGGTACGTTTCCTGATTGGAGGAGTGGAGTCACGTGGTATGTTTGCTGGCTTCTGATTGGTCAGTTTGCTTGATTGGATTACCAGAAGAGCTCTGCGCCAATTCAAATAATTAAATTAGCTGATATGGTGTGGGAGACCATGAGCTATATTGCGTATAGCTGCATTTGTCATGCTTATTTTCTTATCGCACAACCTTTCTTGATTGATTTGCAGCGGTCAACAAATACGTTTCAACCGGAATAGTCAAACAATGAGGTACAATGACTATGAGTTATTCAGAAATTTCACGAGTCGCTTTTGTGAAAATTTACTTTTGTGAACATTTCGACCGTCGTGAAAATTTTAATATTTTTTGTCTGTTTAGTTGATTGAATTTCAAAATACAGTTTAACCTCACGACCATCAAACATTTAGGACATTTTGTTGAGGATACAAATAAATATGTACAAATGAATAGGTAAAAATTTAGTGCAGTCTTCAATGAGAGTAAAACTGGTCGTTAAGGAGTTATGTAATTATTTTATCGTTTGAATTATAATCTGTAACGTTAAAATACTTTGCCAACTTGCTCCTTGTAAGATGCTTAGTTAAGTTATTGTGCTAAGTTAAGCTATATAGTACGTGATCGGATACTTTTCCGTATTAATCCAACAATTATTACTTTTTATTTTCACAATAAAATCGAATCTAATCTCATCGAATAAGCGCCGCGCGCTCGTTCTTCAACCAGCCCTCTCCCCGAGTAGTTCCCAACAAGCCCTCTCCCCGAGTAGTTCCAAACCAGCCCTCTCCCCGAGTAGTTCCCAACCAGCCCTCTCCCCGAGTAGTTCCCAACCAGCCCTCTCCCCAAGTAGTTCCCAACCAGCCCTCTCCCCGAGTAGTTCCCAACCAGCCCTCTCCCCGAGTAGTTCCCAACCAGCCCTCTCCCCGAGTAGTTCCCAACCAGCCCTCTCCCCGAGTAGTTCCCAACCAGCCCTCTCCCCGAGTAGTTCCCAACCAGCCCTCTCCCCGAGTAGTTCCCAACCAGCCCTCTCCCCGAGTAGTTCCCAACCAGCCCTCTCCTAGAGTAGTTCCCAACCAGCCCTCTCCCCGAGTAGTTCCCAACCAGCCCTCTCCCCGAGTAGTTCCCAACCAGCCCTCTCCCCGAGTAGTTCCCAACCAGCCCTCTCCCCGAGTAGTTCCCAACCAGCCCTCTCCCCGAGTAGCCCCCAACCAGCCCTCTCCCCGAGTAGTTCCCAACCAGCCCTCTCCCCGAGTAGTTCCCAACCAGTCCTCTCCCCGAGTAGTTCCCAACCAGCCCTCTCCCCGAGTAGTTCCCAACCAGCCCTCTCCCCGAGTAGTTCCTAACCAGCCCTCTCCCCGAGTAGTTCCCAACCAGCCCTCTCCCCGAGTAGTTCCCAACCAGCCCTCTCCCCGAGTAGTTCCCAACCAGCCCTCTCCCCGAGTAGTTCCCAACCAGCCCTCTCCCCAAGTAGTTCCCAACCAGCCCTCTCCCCGAGTAGTTCCCAACCAGCCCTCTCCCCGAGTAGTTCCCAACCAGCCCTCTCCCCGAGTAGTTCCCAACCAGCCCTCTCCCCGAGTAGTTCCCAACCAGCCCTCTCCCCGAGTAGTTCCCAACCAGCCCTCTCCCCGAGTAGTTCCCAACCAGCCCTCTCCCCGAGTAGTTCCCAACCAGCCCTCTCCTAGAGTAGTTCCCAACCAGCCCTCTCCCCGAGTAGTTCCCAACCAGCCCTCTCCCCGAGTAGTTCCCAACCAGCCCTCTCCCCGAGTAGTTCCCAACCAGCCCTCTCCCCGAGTAGTTCCCAACCAGCCCTCTCCCCGAGTAGCCCCCAACCAGCCCTCTCCCCGAGTAGTTCCCAACCAGCCCTCTCCCCGAGTAGTTCCCAACCAGTCCTCTCCCCGAGTAGTTCCCAACCAGCCCTCTCCCCGAGTAGTTCCCAACCAGCCCTCTCCCCGAGTAGTTCCTAACCAGCCCTCTCCCCGAGTAGTTCCCAACCAGCCCTCTCCCCGAGTAGTTCCCAACCAGCCCTCTCCCCGAGTAGTTCCCAACCAGCCCTCTCCCCGAGTAGTTCCCAACCAGCCCTCTCCCCGAGTAGTTCCCAACCAGCCCTCTCCCCGAGTAGTTCCCAACCAGCCCTCTCCCCGAGTAGTTCCCAACCAGCCCTCTCCCCGAGTAGTTCCCAACCAGCCCTCTCCCCGAGTAGTTCCCAACCAGCCCTCTTCCCGAGTAGTTCCCAACCAGCCCTCTCCCCGAGTAGTTCCCAACCAGCCCTCTCCCCGAGTAGTTCCCAACCAGCCCTCTCCCCGAGTAGTTCCCAACCAGCCCTCTCCCCGAGTAGTTCCCAACCAGCCGTCTCCCTGAGTAGTTCCCAACCAGCCCTCTCCCCGAGTAGTTCCCAACCAACCCTCTTCCCGAGTAGTTCCCAACCAGCCCTCTCCCTGAGTAGTTCCCAATCAGCCCTCTCCCCGAGTAGTTCCCAACCAGCCCTCTCCCCGAGTAGTTCCCAACCAGCCCTCTCCCCGAGTAGTTCCCAACCAGCCCTCTCCCCGAGTAGTTCCCAACCAGCCCTCTTCCCGAGTAGTTCCCAACCAGCCCTCTCCCTGAGTAGTTCCCAATCAGCCCTCTCCCAGAGTAGTTCCCAACCAGCCCTCTCCCTGAGTAGTTCCCAACCAGCCCTCTCCCCGAGTAGTTCCCAACCAGCCCTCTCCCTGAGTAGTTCCCAACCAACCCTCACCCCGAGTAGTTCCCAACCAGCCCTCTCCCCGAGTAGTTCCCAACCAGCCCTCTCCCCGAATAGTTCCCAACCAACCCTCTCCCTGAGTAGTTCCCAACCAGCCCTCTCCCCGAGTAGTTCCCAACCAGCCCTCTCCCCGAGTAATTCCCAACCAGCCCTCTCCCCGAGTAGTTCCCAACCAGCCCTCTCCCCGAGTAGTTCCCAACCAGCCCTCTCCCCGAGTAGTTCCCAGCCAGCCCTCTCCCTGAGTAGTTCCCAACCAGCCCTCTCCCCGAGTAGTTCCCAACCAGCCCTCTCCCCGAGTAGTTCCCAACCAGCCCTCTCCCCGAGTAGTTCCCAACCAGCCCTCTCCCCGAGTAGTTCCCAACCAGCCCTCTCCCCGAGTAGTTCCCACCAGCCCTCTCCCCGAGTAGTTCCTAACCAGCCCTCTCCCCGAGTAGTTCCCAACCAGCCCTCTCCCCGAGTAGTTCCCAACCAGCCCTCTCCCCGAGTAGTTCCCAACCAGCCCTCTCCCCGAGTAGTTCCCACCAGCCCTCTCCCCGAGTAGTTCCTAACCAGCCCTCTCCCCGAGTAGTTCCTAACCAGCCCTCTCCCCGAGTAGTTCCCAACCAGCCCTCTCCCCGAGTAGTTCCCAACCAGCCCTCTCCCCGAGTAGTTCCCACCAGCCCTCTCCCCGAGTAGTTCCTAACCAGCCCTCTCCCCGAGTAGTTCCTAACCAGCCCTCTCCCCGAGTAGTTCCCAACCAGCCCTCTCCCCGAGTAGTTCCCAACCAGCCCTCTCCCCGAGTAGTTCCCACCAGCCCTCTCCCCGAGTAGTTCCTAACCAGCCCTCTCCCCGAGTAGTTCCCAACCAGCCCTCTCCCCGAGTAGTTCCCAACCAGCCCTCTCCCCGAGTAGTTCCCAACCAGCCCTCTCCCCGAGTAGTTCCCAACCAGCCCTCTCCCCGAGTAGTTCCCACCAGCCCTCTCCCCGAGTAGTTCCCAACCAGCCCTCTCCCCGAGTAGTTCCCAACCAGCCCTCTCCCCGAGTAGTTCCCAACCAGCCCTCTCCCCGAGTAGTTCCCAACCAGCCCTCTCCCCGAGTAGTTTCCAACCAGCCCTCTCCCCGAGTAGTTCCCAACCAGCCCTCTCCCCGAGTAGTTCCCAACCAGCCCTCTCCCCAGCTGGTTAAGTGCTGGGGAGAGGGCTGGTGAGTAGATCTGTTAAGGAGATCACCAACAACCAGCCCGGTCATCGCACCTTCATAGAGTTAGACGGGTTCCTTCTAGTAATCCTAATGCCTGACAATAACATTGTCTCTAAGTGGCTTATTGTGTTGCAAGGATTTATACTGCATTAAGTAATTATTGTTGCTTTCTAAATCAATTAGCGTATTTATATAACAATAAAATTATTCCATCTTGTCTACAGCTTGACTCAACGTGTTCGCTTTATTAGATTAGGTCGCTTAGTCAGAGCTCTGTTAATTTCAGCCCTTGTTTTACTTAACCCCTACTAGTAATAGCTGTTTTACGCGTTTATAGGCACTCAACGCGTAATCTTATATTAGTTATTACCTTATTAATTTACCGAGAAAACATGCACACATATCAACTGTTCTGTTTTCCTTGAAATTTACTTATTTGCGTAGAAAACGTTAAGATTTGAGTGTCAAAAAGGAATTTGTTTGGGACTAAATTTATTTGTTCGTGCCTGCCCACGTCATATTGTACTCCGACTGGATCTTCCTCAAACATACAATTCAAATGATAGAAAATGGTTTAATGATTTGTTAATTTTATCTGTTAATTCTTATATATATTCACATCGTAACGCTCTTATTTACATTTTTAGTATCGGATAACACTGCAATCACTGAGCCAAAGAACATGTTCTGTGGATTATCACCAGGTAACTACTACTTCTAAGAAACTATCACTAAGTGTTACCATGGAAACTATCACTGTAACCAACTATCACACATAAACCACCTCATTTTTATAAATCATAAATAATGTTCCACAGAACTCTAACGTTCTGAGTTCTTATTAGTAACCACCATTTTTATAAATCATGAATAATGTTCCACAGAACTCTAACGTTCTGAGTTCTTATTAGTAACCACCACTTTTATAAATCATAAATAATGTTCCACAGAACTCTATAAGTAACGTTCTGAGTTCTTATTAATAACCATAGTATTTATTGAAGATTTCAGCCCTTTAACTCCATCTAATTCGTATATTAAACCACTTACCAGTAACAGGATTAGTAACATACAGCTAGCTCCCTTATTTGGGTCACTTCCTCTATATCTAACTTATGCTAGGTCTAAGTTAAACAGCTGGGGAAACTTTATTAAAGTATGAATTAGGTTTCTGATTTGTTGGCCACTTTAAGATTAAATACTGTCAATATTGCATATCATATAATGTAACATTCAAACGTGGAGTTAAAGCCTAACTCACATGAATATTATGCAGTCAGCAGCAGCATTATATTATAGTTGTATAACATAAGGAGTTCTAGATATTTGTTATAAAGAGCAGCATGGTATATAGTAGTATTACAACACCAATGCAACACCACTAGAACCCCTCTCTTCAGGAATGATGGGGGTAGAGGACGCACTGTTGATGAAGAAACGGAAGTCGAGAAGGTTCCGGACTACTTTCACCAGCTGTCAGCTACAAGCTCTGGAAGGAGCTTTCCAGCAGACGCACTATCCGGACATGTACATGAGGGAGGAGCTGGCGATGAGGATAGATCTCACCGAGGCTAGAGTACAGGTACATTGTACATTATACATTGTACATTATACATTATACATTGTACATTGTACATTGTTAGTAGTAGTGGTATTTACTGCGGCTAGAGTACAGGTCAGTGTGGTATTTACTGAGGCTAGAGTACAGGTCAGTGTGGTATTTACTTGATACTAGGCTTTCTTGCTAGAAGCATGGAAGAGTAAGTAGCTGGCGCTAGATGTAAGATGTGAGAGTTTGTCACCTGAAACGTCTGATGATATTATAACTTTATAATTGTTGTATCTCCAGACGCCATCATCTCATTATTGAAAATAGTATTTTGACACAAAATGCGGCACTATCCGTCGCGGAGTCGAGTCCGCGGCGGAGCCGCCGGACTCCGGGCGGACTCCGAGCGGACTCCGGCGGAGCCGCCGGACTCCGAGCGGACTCCGGCGGTGCTCCGCCAAAATGTATTTACAGTGGACTCGAGTACATTTTGGCGGACTCCGAGCGGAGCCGAGCGGACTCCGAGCGGACTTTAAAGTCCGCCGCGGACTCCGAGCGGCTCCGCGGCGGCTCGGCGGAGTGTCCGCCGCGGACTAAGCCACTAGGCGGACTCCGGTCCGCCGCGGACTCCGGCGGAGTGCTTGGCGGACTCCGCCGGACCTCTCCGCCAGACTTGAATCCGGCGGAGTCCGGCGGAGCTTGGCGGAGTCCGCCAGCTCGGCGGACTCCGCTCGGAGTCCGCCGGACTCCAACAGAGTCCACTGACTTCCGACCTCCGTCTTCCGACCCTCGGCTAAATTTGTCACGTGACATACAACATAGCATTTTGCAATATTGTGGTCAGATGAAAAGGTCGCTAGTGATAAACCTTAACCATTACCCTCACAATGTCAATAGTGTACAACTCTAGTCCTAACTTTGACCCTATAATGTATAAACGTTGACCCTAACCCTCCACCAAACCGTCCGCAGCGAAATATCAATGTCATTGACTGGTCACGTGACCAAAACAATTTTTGTCATATTATCTCATATGGGGAAGCGTTTTTAGCAAGCAAAAATACGTCGACCATCACAGGACGACGCCAGCCAGCACTCTCTACGCTCTTCGAGCTCCGATCGTCCTGTGACGAAGTAAGGACGAAGCCTGAGGTCCTCAGGTAACATCGACCACCGATTGAAAATTCAAAGATTTTTTGACATAAAGGTCAAATGTAAAACTAAAATCTTGATGTTGATTGATTGACGACGTCAATTTTTGAGCACAGCGCGAGCGCATATTGCGGAAAAGGACCGCGTAGCTAGTCAAGATGTTGATAAATATTTGGCTTGTGGCGCGATGTGTTGCTCTAACTATAGCCCTCTCGCTTGCAATAGCGCGCGACCGCCGGAGGCGGAAATGACCTGGTTAGCTAGGTAAACGCGATGTGCCTTGTAGGATGAAATCCTACTAGCTGACGCCATTCGCAGCTGTGCTGCTCGCTGTACGTCAGCGATCGAAATTTATACGCGTATCCCCCGTTAAGATGTGCCACTCGACTGTCGACGCGCCACAAAATTTTTTTCGTTGTTCGTCGACGTGCGACGAGCAACGAAAAAAATTGCGTGGCGCGTCGGGTGGCACATCTTAACGGGTGATACGCGTATAAATTTCGATCGCTGACGTACAGCGAACATCACAGCTGCGAGTGGCGTCAGCTAGTAGGATTTCATCCTACAATGCAAGGCACATCGCGTTCATTTAGCTAACCAGGTGCTTTCGCGCCGCTGCGGGCGCGCTTGTTCCACAAGTCATTTCCGGCGGTCGCGCGCTACTGCAAGCGAGAGGGCTATAGTTAGAGCAACACATCGCGCCACAAGCCAAATATTTATCAACATCTTGACTAGCTACGCGGTCCTTTTCCGCATGCGCTCGCGCTGTGCTCAAAAATTGACGTCGTCAATCAATCAGCATCAAGATTTTAGTTTTACATTTGACCTTTATGTCAAAAAATCTTTGAATTTTCAATCGGTGGTCGATGTTACCTGAGGACCTCAGGCTTCGTCCTTACTTCGTCACAGGACGATCGGAGCTCGAAGAGCGTAGAGAGTGCTGGCTGGCGTCGTCCTGTGATGGTCGACGTATTTTTGCTTGCTGGGATCCGGCCGAATGACGCCACATGCAACGTGTAGGGTAAAACTAAAAACGCTTCCCCATATGAGATAATATGACAAAAATTGTTTTGGTCACGTGACCAGTCAATGACATTGATATTTCGCTGCGGACGGTTTGGTGGAGGGTTAGGGTCAACGTTTATACATTATAGGGTCAAAGTTAGGACTAGAGTTGTACACTATTGACATTGTGAGGGTAATGGTTAAGGTTTATCACTAGCGACCTTTTCATCTGACCACAATATTGCAAAATGCTATGTTGTATGTCACGTGACAAATTTAGCCGAGGGTCGGAAGACGGAGGTCGGAAGTCAGTGGACTCTGTTGGAGTCCGGCGGACTCCGAGCGGAGTCCGCCGAGCTGGCGGACTCCGCCAACCTCCGCCGGACTCCGCCGGATTCAAGTCTGGCGGAGAGGTCCGGCGGAGTCCGCCAAGCACTCCGCCGGAGTCCGCGGCGGACCGGAGTCCGCCTAGTGGCTTAGTCCGCGGCGGACACTCCGCCGAGCCGCCGCGGAGCCGCTCGGAGTCCGCGGCGGACTTTAAAGTTCGCTCGGAGTCCGCTCGGCTCCGCTCGGAGTCCGCCAAAATGTACTCGAGTCCACTGTAAATACATTTTGGCGGAGCACCGCCGGAGTCCGCTCGGAGTCCGGCGGCTCCGCCGGAGTCCGCTCGGAGTCCGCTCGAAGTCCGGCGGCTCCGCCGCGGACTCGACTCCGCGACGGATAGTGCCCAATATGCAGCTTAGGTGGCATTACAAAATTGTTACCTAATATTGCCAAACATGACGTCTACAATGTCTACATCACAAGGAATACAAGGAATACAAGGAATACAAGGAATACAAGGAATACAATGAATACAAGGAATACAAGGAATACAAGGAATACAAGGAATACAAGGAATACAAGGAATACAAGGAATACAAGGAATACAAGGAATACACGGAATACAAGGAATACAAGGAATACAAGGAATACAAGGAATACAAGGAATACAAGGAATACAAGGAATACATGGAATACAAGGAATACAAGGAATACAAGGAATACAAGGAATACAAGGAATACACGGAATACAAGGAATACAAGGAATACAAATCTTAAGCTACAAGATTAACTGTCAAGATAATAACAATATATCATAACGCGATTTCTTGCCCCATCCAAAAATAACAATATTAACAAAGAATGAAATTTCACAATATTAGGTCTTTTTTAATTTAACCAAATTAATTTTTACTCTTTAGATTTAATATTGATAAAATTTACTAAAATAAAAAGAATAAAGATTTTTCACACGTGTCAGTATACATACTGCTAAGTACAAAATAACACATGTATCATTAAATATTTTGCTAAGTACATTGTACATTGTACATTGTACATTGAACATTGTAAATTGTAAATTGTACATTGTACATTGTACATTGTACATTGTACATTATACATTGTACAATCAAAATATTTGTTGCCTTTAGAAATAAGCTTAGAAATAGAGGTGGATATTTACGAACACTGATTCCACATTGAAAAGCTTTAGATCGCATCGTATTTCAAGTATCAGAGATACTAAACACGCCAGTACGTTTACTCATGGAACTACTGTTGTACTCTGGTATTTAGTTAGTATAAGCCATAGTCTTTTTGTTGCGATTCTCTGGCTTATTTAAATAGCAATCAATACATAGCTTTGCACCGCTTCAAGTTTGGAAAATTGCGACCCAATCACGTCAGACACTTTGTTTCGTTTGAAAAGCAGGAAAAATCCAAAAAACAGAGGAATATTGAAGTTGTGGCAGGTTTGAATGTGTAAGCAGTTTAGCCGGTGTGTTTGTATACTTTATATTGTATGAATAGTCACCCACCACACGACCACCCGTGCTGTGTTGTTCCGTGTGTTTACTCAGCAGTAGTCATGTCTGATTTCTTTCAAAACATAAAGCGGGGAGTGAAGGAGTACGCCCGGAGCAGCAGGACGTCGGACGGCCGGTCCACACTTCACATAGCAGTGCTCACCAACTCCTGCTCCCCAGTACAGACCCTGCTGGACGCTGGGGTGGACAGGTTCGCTCAGGATAGAGCGGGGAACACGGCACTACACGTAGCAGCTGCCGAGGGTGCCGGAGTGGCACTCAGGACTCTGCTCACTTACGAACCAAGGAACCTTACTCCTGATCCTGTGGGCTTTGAGGGCGAGGAGGTTTCTCTGCCTCCTCCGGCACGATCTGTCGCTGAAATGGTAGATCTAAAGAACTTGAAGGGAGAAACAGCCCTACATTTAGCTTGCAGAGCTAACAGTTTGACTTGTATTGAAGTACTGCTAGAGAACGCCTCTGACATGTACAATATGACATGTGAAGGGAAGCAGCCAGTCCACTACGCTGTTAAATACGACAGCGTGGAAAGTGCTACCCACCTTCTTATGAAGGATATCGGGTTAGCTCACACTGATTCTAACGACGAGCCCCTTATCCACCTGGCTGCTTCAAAGGAGATGGTGGAGTTACTGGTAAAGTACGGGGTAGATGCTAATGCTAGGGACTGTACTGGCCTCACTGCACTTCACACTGCTGTTAAGAACAAGAACTTCCAGCTTCTCATGGCACTGCTTCTCTCAGGGTGCCCTGTTGATCTGGTCGACTCAGAGGGGAACACTGCGCTGCACACTTGTGTCTCTCAGAATGTTGAACATGACTTCCCCAAGACACTAGTAGTGTTTGGTGCTCCGTTAGAAGCTAAGAATAACAAAGGTAACACAGCGTACCAGACAGCTGAACAGGCTTGTAATGAGGAATATGTGAGTTTGTTGACTGAGGTTGGGGGTCATGATGATCTGTTCCTGGCTAGGGGGGACAGGGAGGGTAAAGTTAGGACCCCTCACGAACGTGATCACCCGAGGAAACGTCCAAATTGGGGGGCTAAAGACGCGGCTGTTCTCTGTATTGATGGTGGTGGGATGAAGGGGCTGGTTGCTATTCAGATTCTCTTAGAGATAGAGAAGTGCACTCAGACGAGTATAGTGGACCTGTTTGATTGGGTGTCAGGATCTAGCATTGGGTCCCTTGTTGTCCTCGCTCAGAAACACGCTGTCATGGACAACACTATTAGGGGGATGCAGAGAGTTCTCTTCGATTTGAAGAACAGGGTATTCGAAGGGTCCAGACCTTACAAGTCAGATAATTTAGAAGCCATCACCAAAGAGATTGTAGGACCAGAGACCAAGATGTTAGACTCCTTTTACCCGCGTATAGTGATCACCACGACAGTAGGTGATGTAAGACCTTGTGAGCTGCACTTGTTCACAAACTACGGAACTGATAATGAGTACGCTTGGAAAGCTGCCAGAGCTTCAGGTGCTGCCCCAACTTACTTCTCACCTTTTGAAAACAAGTATCTAGACGGAGGTGTCATGTCAAACAACCCCACTCTGGACACTCTGGTGGAAATGAGAAAGTTTTACAACAGATCTGATTCAGATGAGCCTTGTCAGCCTAAAATAGTTATCTCCGTAGGGACGAGTTTAGTCCGTCCAGTGCAGGTTAAGGATCTAGACGTAGGGTTCCGCCCTAAGAACCCCATGGAAGCAGCCAAGTTCGCCAGCAGCGCTCTAGAGATGTTCAGTACGTTGATAGAGCAGTGTGCACTGTGTGATGGTCCCATAGTGGAACAATGCAGGTACTGGTGCGATAGTGTGGGGAGTGAGTATTACAGACTTCAGCCTGACATTCAGTCTGTCACGGCCATGGACGAGAAGAGTGATTCAGTTCTAGTTCAGATGTGTTGGGAGACGTGTTCCTGGGTTTATAAAAGCAGTGACGTGTTTGTTATGTTAGCTGATGCGCTGTATTCGGGAACTTGATGCGCTGTATTCGGGAACTTGATGTGTCATATTCGGGAACTTGATGCGTTTTATTCGGGAACTTGATGTGTTGTATTCGGGAACTTGATGCACTGTATTCGGGAACTTGATGCGCTGTATTCGGGAACTTGATGCGCTGTATTCGGGAACTTGATGCGCTGTATTCGTGAACTTGATGCGTTGTATTCGGGAACTTGATGTGTCGTATTCGGGAACTTGATGTGTCGTATTCGGGAACTTGATGTGCTGTATTCGGGAACTTGTTGTGTCGTATTCGGGAACTTGATGCGTTTTATTCGGGAACTTGAGGCGTTTTATTCGGGAACTTGATGCGTTGTATTCGGGAACTTGATGCGCTGTATTCGGGAACTTGATGTGTCGTATTCGGGAACTTGATGCGTTTTATTCGGGAACTTGATGTGTTGTATTCGGGAACTTGATGCACTGTATTCGGGAACTTGATGCGCTGTATTCGGGAACTTGATGCGCTGTATTCGGGAACTTGATGCGCTGTATTCGGGAACTTGATGCGTTGTATTCGGGAACTTGATGTGTCGTATTCGGGAACTTGATGTGTTGTATTCGGGAACTTGATGTGCTGTAGTCGGGAACTTGATGTGTCGTATTCGGGAACTTGATGCGTTTTATTCGGGAACTTGAGGCGTTTTATTCGGGAACTTGATGCGTTGTATTCGGGAACTTGATGCGTTGTATTCGGGAACTCAGCATTTTGATCGTGACAGAGTTTCAGGTTTCTAGCCAGGCTAGATTAAGATGACAAAGTTTCTTTGTGTGTTATTTGATTTTAAATTCAGTCGAATTAGTTGTAATTTTATAATACGTTTGATAAACGAGCACAGATATTTTCTTTGTTTCATTATCACGCCCGAATTGCAATATTCAGTCGACTAGATTAATTATCATGATTAATTTACAATTTTCTTAAGTTGGCGCCGTAGCATTGTTTACCAACTTTTGCAATTAAGTAACCTATTGTTATTTTTTATATAGACAGATCTGATTAGACAGCTTGTCTCACACTAGAATAAGTGGTAAATATGCAGTTTGGTCTAAGCTTCATGTACTTGCAGTTACTTGTACAAACTTGCAGAGAAATAAATGAAAGCAATCCATATTTGGCTTTAGTATCATTAACCTTTTAAAATTGTTCCAAAAGTGATGCGAAGCATTATACGTTATATGTATATAACGTATAACGGTATATACCGTGTATACACGGTTAATAGAGTGAAGATTAATAATCAAAATTGATATGATTACTAGTGGTGTCTGCAGTTGCTACTGCTGCAAATAGACTGTTGAGTTTTGGTGCAACTAATAAATAAGGTAATTAGACGCGTGTATATTGCTTCCTTTTTGTGATGGCACAAATATTGATAGATTGAACATTAATGGTTTTAAACGGTGATGTTTTAAAAACCTAATCATAAAGATACCAGGCTGGAGAATAATAACTAAATCTAATAGCTACACAGCGGGGGCGGGGTACTGCAATCATTGTCTTGATGTTACCTACCTATGTCACCTACCTTGATGTTACCTACCTATGTCACCTATGTTGAGATTCGTTAAGCTTTAACAGGGCCATCACACTGTGTGACCACCCACAGAGAGGAGATCTCTCTGTCATTCCTCCAGCAAAGCAGCGAGTTTGAGTTCTAAGGAGTGTAGCCCCTGATGGGCGGTGTATCCGGAAGAGACAGCATGAACTGGGTGAGCTGCGATTTGAAATGCTCTCGGTCGCCGATACAATTCAAATGGTAATGCATCGCATTCCACAATTTTGGGCCTACGACTGCAAATGAATTATCATACAGTGACTGATTTGCTGCTGAGCTGTGTTTGCATGCAGATGGAATGACTGCTAGGTTTCCAAAACGTAGCCTGGAGACAAACTGCACGTTAATGTCGTTGCTGGTATGGTGATGGAGAATCTTCTACATATGAAGTAAAATGAACCGCTCCCTGCGACGCTGTAGAGACATCAGAGATAGCCGTTTAAGACGGTCCCAATAATGGAGATCACGCATTCCAGTAATCCTTGCGGTGAAAGCTTTCTATACGCTTTCAAGCTCCTGGATGTAACATATCTTGGAGGGGTGCCAGAGCGGGCAACAGTATTCCAGTAGACTACGAACCATCGACTTGTAACACTACTAGTTACCATGGTTACATCGACTTAGCATTATGACTGGATATCTGGTCTGAAAGACACTGAAAACCCAGGCAGCTTTTTGTCGAGCTTGTTTGCTATGGTCTTTATGTGGGGTTGCCAAGATAGAAACCTAGAATTGGATGAATACGTTTCGTTTTTATTAATATAAACTGGCGAGAAATTCTGCAACTCCCATTATTTCAGGTTTGGTTTCAAAATCGTAGAGCGAAATGGAGGAAGAGGGAGAAACTACAAAACATAGCGTCCGGAAACAGCAGGTAACCCTGGTAACCAGTTAACCAACTAGCAAGATGGCTTGGCTAGCTGGTCAGTATTGCAGTTATTCTTGAAATTTTCGGTTGATTTCCAAACACGTTCTAAATCGGACTGGAATTAGAACCGGATATTGAAGAGAAATATCCGGCCAGAACCGAATTCAGCCGAATGACCGATCGGTTCCTAAATATCACTATCAGAGTGAAATTGAGTGGAAATTGAATTAACGGGTGATACTCGTAAAATATTTGTTCCAATCGAGTCCAACTCGGCGCGCGTCCTGGTAGGTTATAAACCTACAAAAATTGAGTGGAATTTGAATTAAAAACTGTTGAATTGGTATTAATCCTGAGGGTAAAATGAAACTTTTGATTACGTAATCAACAGCCGCCCCTCAAATGTATTGGATTTCAATCATTATCCTAGCAACGACCTGATACAGGATTATCATATTATATTGTTGTTTCGTCTGATTTCCAAATCATTATTCATTAAAGCCGGGCTCCCTCAGCGGCAGTCACGTGACTACTCCTGGAACTGGGAGTCAATGTGAGAGTGCAGCTAGCAGTCCTTATCTCAACTCAGCCTGCTCCCCCTCCCCTAATACCGGTTACAAGAACAAGAGAACAACAACATTCTCTCCCCCGCCCTCCAGTGTAAATGCTCTGTTAGCAGCCAACCCCCTTCTCACATCCTGGTCAAACGTTCTACAAAATCAGTACAGGTTAGTCCAACCCTCTCAGAGCAAGGTTGTTAAATACGTCTAATTGTAAGCTAAAATACGTATGTATTAAATCCTTTTCACACCTTAAAAGTGACACATGTTAAATACGCGCAAAACACGTGCGCGCGCGGCGATTGTTTTTAAAAATATGCTCAGACATTTTCAAAAAGCTTATCGGTCGAAATTAACTTTTATATTTTTGCACAAATTTACAGAATTAATGACGTCACGACTCACTCCGCTTGAATAAATAAGTGTGTATTAATACGTATTAATAAAAATAGGAATTTAACAAACTTGCCTCAGAGAGTTGAGTGCTCAGCTGCCAGGTCTGCACAAAGAAGGGGACCCCTTACAGCGAATGAGAGAGGCTCTGGTGGGTAGAAGTGGTAATGTGGACATCTCTAACCACCCTCTTCTACTTAACTTCCCCTTCAAGGATCCACTTCTAGCTGTTTCCAGGTCGGTTATCTAGCAGAATTCTACAGATTAAGAGGACACTTATCAACATTTCTGAACTATCGATTTGAATTTAATTTTGGATCGAGTATGTTTGGCGTACTAGCTTACTAGCATTACATTTACTGTTTCGTTAATCTGTTCACAATCCTACTATAACTGTATTTCTCAGTTCATCGCCAGTAACAACACTTGGGAACTTTGTGTCAGAAAGTACTAAAGAAGCGTTCTGAAGAAACAGTACTGTTTACCAAAGAAGCTGCTGGTTGTCATGGTAATCGCAAGAAAGAGATGTGAACTGCCTTGTGACTCGTCGACCTTTCTACGATGATTTAATGAATCTCAGGGGCCAGAAATTCAACGAAGAGATAAAGAAGCGAGCACTTTGAATGTTAATTTGTGGTACTTCTTGATCACTTTATATCTTCTAGATTAAAGTTCATTGGAGACATGATCGGAGCTGCAGTAGACTGTATTTTGATATGTTTATCGTTTAACGGGGAGGATGGTTACTTGTTTGCTTTGAAAGTGTATTTTTCGTAGAAAGCTATGCAGTTAAAGCAACGTTGATAAAATATTATTTATTGATTAAATTTGTCGTGAATTTGCGTATAAGGCTGTTTGTGTATAAGATTCCAGATAAAATGTAAAATGTCGTTTCCGGTTTCATGTTCGTACAAGGAAATTTTATGTTGCCGTTGGCTAAAACGATGCTGAAAGTTTTCAGATTCCCTTTTAAAATCGAAAAATTGGTATTATTATTGTTTAAAACTGAAAGCTGCATGTTGAGCAGACTGTTCTAAAATATTGTGCATTTAAGACAAGAAAAATTTCACGCGGTGGTAAATCAGTGTTACCATTTTATTGACGGATGTTACTCGTCTAAATTTCTTCGAAGTAGCGCGCGCCGCTTTCTTCTCGAAATATTATACATTGGCCCGATGGCAAATGCTACGAAGTAGCGTGCGCCGGGCCAGACTTGCTCTAACCAGAGCCCTCTCGCTTGCAGTAGCGCGCGACCGCCGTCACGCAGTACGCGTATACACATGGCTATCCCAGCAAAAGTTACTGGCTGGTGGTGGTACTAGAGGTGGTTTAATTTAAACAGACGGCTAGACCTCGCGCGCGACATTAAACATGATTTGCACGCGTGGCGCATTCCAATCTTCAAGCAGCCAGCACGTGACACAATTCAGCCAATCAGAGTACAGTGTACAGGAATCTGCAAAGTTAAAGTTGCAAACTTTTGATCGGCCTAAAATGACACTTTTCTGGAGATTTGTAGATAACTCCAAATTTACGTTGTTTTAAATGTTCCCCCTGGGGGGAAACGTTACTTTTACAAGACGAACATGTTGCAAAAAACCGAAAATCTCTAACTCTTTTACTTTCAAAGTTAGGCCCCATCCAGTAAGGGTTTCTGAAATGTGAAGGGCCAGACCAATAACTGATAACAATGGTCAACCATTTTATAGTTTTTAACATTTAAGAGCAAAGTTACGTAACTTTTGATAGTTTGATAATTCGGTGATAATTTCAGCATGGAAATATATCCTGAAGTTGTTATTGTTTTTTCCTTTGAAGACAAATAATCGACAGAACAAAAAACATACGGCTTCGTGCGAAAAGACTTTGGTTGTATCACGTCGCGTCGTGACCCCCATTGTCATTTCACTTAGAGGCGGGGCGAAAGTCACGATCAACGATACAGTTGTCACACTCACCTCAAGCTGTATCGTAGAAACGGCACCACTTAGTGAAATGACAATGGGGGTCACGACGTGATACAAATACACCTGCCTTAACGGGTGATACTCGTAAAATATTCGTTTCAAATATTACCGTCGACGAGTCCAACTGGGCGCGCGTCCTGGTAGGTTATAACATATAAACCTACAACACCTGCCGCGCGCGAGTCGCTCCTACTAAATCGCTCGCCCAAATTTTAAGAAAATTCTTGTGAAAAGGCCCTTTGAGTGTAAAATTGATCTGAATAGGTGTATTTTTGGACGCTGATTCTGGATCACCCCACAAGATGTAGGGTAAAAAAATGACCCTTACCACAACCCTAACCCTAACCCGAGTCCTAAACAATCGAATTAATGTTTTACTAGCCAGAGCCTGTCACGTGACAAAAACGGTTTCTTGCCCATAACTCTCCGTGGAAGCATTTTTACCCTACATCTTGTGGGGTGATCCGGAATCGGCTCTTACTAATTCGCTCGCCCAAAAATTTCACGTGACTTTGGTTTTTATGGTTTTGCAGCCGTACAAAAAGGTTTTACATAAACCCTAATCCCAACCCTAACCCTAACCATAACCCCGAAGCTAACCATAACCCTTACCACAACCCTAACCCTAACCCGGGCCCTAAACAATCGAATTTGTATTTTACTAGCCTGTCACGTGACCAAAACGGTTTTTTGCCCATAACTCTCCAGGGAAGCATTTTAACCCTATGTCATGGGGGGTGATTCGGAATCAGCGTCCAAAAATACACCGATTTAGATTACTTTCATGCCCAAAGGGCCTTTTCAAAAGAAGTTTCTTAAAATTTGGGCGAGCGATTTAGTAGGAGCGAAAGTCACGTGAAATTTTTGGGCGAGCGAATTAGTAAGAGCCCGCGCGAGTACTAGTAGTAGTGTGAAACGACCGTGGGGGTTTCAACTCACGACGTGATACAACGATACAGCCGTGCACTCGTGCGTGGCAGGCCTACAACGTGAAATGGCAAGCTCCGGTTAGACTTGTTGAACTTGATATACGTTACATTTCCTTTAACGCGATGCGTGCACGAAAGAGATATATTTCGTGCATGAAATTGACCATTGTTAGTGGTCTTATTTGGCCCGGCGCGCGCTACTTCGTAGCACTTGCCATCGGGCCAAGTGCTAATATTTCAGGAAGAAAGCGGCGAGCGGTACCTCGAAGAAATTTAGACGAGTAACATCCGTCAAGCATGAAAGGGATATGCAATTCACGGATAATAAGCATTTCTACTTTTTCGAAAAAGTGTGCAAAGTTTTGAAGAATTTTTAATAATCAATAATATAACTTACTAACGCTCGCCAAATTGCAAAACAATTAATTACCAGGCATGGCACTGACGATGTTATTATTGTTTTTGATTTGTGATTGACGATGTCAATCCTTCGCAGCTCGGCCTGGTGCATCTCGCCGATCTAACGAAATGGTTGTAAGAAACATTCGCTCCTACTAAATCGCTCGCCCAAATGTTAAGAAATTTCTTGTGAAAAGGCCCTTTGGGTGTAAAATTGATCTGAATAGGTGTATTTTTGGACGCTGATTCCGATATATTTCCATGCTGAAATTATCACCGAATTATCAAACTATCAAAAGTTACGTAGTTGCTCTTTAAATGTTAAAAACTATAAAATGGTAACACTAACACTGATTTACCACCGCGTGAAATTTTTCTTGTCTTAAATGCACAATATTTTAAAACAGTCTGCTCAACATGCAGTTTTCAGTTTTAAACAATGAATATAATATTAATACCTATTTTTCGATTTTAAAAGGGAATCTGAAAACTTTCAGCATCGTTTTAACCAACGGCAACATAAAATTTCCTTATACGAACCGGAAACGACATTTTACATTTTATCTGGAATCTTATACACAAACAGCCTTATACGCAAATTCACGATAAAGTTAAATTTAATCAATAAATAATATTTTATCAACGTTGCTTTAACTGCATAGCTTTCTCCACAATTTATGTACTGACCTCAATCATCTCTGTTGCTGCGTGGCTGGTGGTCTACAGAGACCATCTTGGAGGAATAGACACGATGAAGAAACTCTCCTGGGTAGAGTTGGGTGTCATCTACTTCTCTACTTCTACTCTTCCTATACTCTGCTCTACTCTGACGCCTCTAAATCTACTCACTAGAAGTGATGTCATGGAGCTATATCTACGAAATGCCCTGAGGAAAATATCAAATGGTACAAAAGTCGGTGGTTTTTCGAAAAAACACCATTACATGTTTTCGGAGTACAAAAATTTAGGTCACCATCATTATTTTTCCCAAATAATTTTTCACGTATTTTCCTTAATTATGACTTTAAATCGATTTACTATCAACTTATCAATATAGTAAGTTATAAATATGATTCATCAAACAGTAAATGAACACTAGTATTCGATCACGAATTGCTTTAAAAATTATTTTGGGCACGTTCCATTAAAAATAAGCAAGCTCTGTCACTACTTTATTGGCCACGGCGGTGAAATTTCGGGATTACTGTCGGTTTCCTATACCCTCTGGAGGATTATAAGTTAAGTTGAGGCTAACTTTCAAAGGCTTCATTTTTGTAAAATAAGGAGATGAAAACAATCCCCAAATACCATGATTTAATTTCGGGTACGAAATGTGGCAGATTTCGGTAAAAATTCCCGTATTTTCGTTCCCAAATCATTTAGGTCAGCGGAATTATGTCGAACAGAAATATGTTTCGTAAGGTAGCTAACCATGTTACATATCGTTTTTTTTTCGACAAAGGTTATCTGCAAACCTTAGTCAAGTGTTCTATAATCTTATAATGGGGGAGGGGGGGGGGGGGGGGGGGTCATGATTATTTTTGAGAGTCCCGACGAAAATGGTCAGATTCTCATTCTCAAAAATTATTTTTGAGAAACGTTTCCAGGAGAGGCGAAAAACTCATTCTCAAAAATTGATTGCACTGAGTCTCAATTGGACCACATTGCACTGATATGAAGAATGATTTGATATAACTATATCACTATTTTTGAGTGGACGATTTTTGAGAAATGAGAAATCCACGCCGAATTTCTCACATTCAAAAATAATTATTGAGACATTTTTGAGTATTCCCGGCGAAAATAGATTCAAAAATTCTCAAAAATACTCATACCCCCCCTCTATAATTGAATGAATGATAGTCGATATAATTATTGATATGTTTATAGTTTATTGTTTAATATTGCAACTGATACCTCCCACGGTATGGAGAGTTTATTGTTTAACATTGCAACTGATACCTCCCACGGTATGGAGAGTTTATTGTTTAACATTGCAACTGATACCTCCCACGGTATTTTTGAGAAATGAGAAATCCACGCCGAATTTCTCACATTCAAAAATAATTATTGAGACATTTTTGAGTATTCCCGGCGAAAATAGATTCAAAAATTCTCAAAAATACTCATACCCCCCTCTATAATTGAATGAATGATAGTCGATATAATTATTGATATG